CGCGATCTATGATATGCAAATGTACTATCAATAGCGAAGTCATCGTCCTGGCTTAATGAGATGCTCAATGTGCCCTGGGTTATTTGAACGGTACGCACGTGAGATCAAGCACGGTACGTGCGCCAGGACTTTAGGCGCGGTTTTAAATGATTTTTGCTAAAAAAAAACTGCAATAGCCGGGCACGTTGGACAAATTCTATGGATTGGGAGTGAGCCTTTCAAACCAGTCCATTGCCGGCCACTAGTCGCAACAGAGGACGCGGAATTTGTGCAATATGTTGAGCGGTAGGCATAAGAATCGATGCCTTTGGCACATATTGTATTAACCCCGCTTACCAGTGCATCCAACGGGTTGCAAGAACGGATAAGGCCATGCTGATCCGTTTGATGTGTTAACCTAGCTTTCTTACAAAATGTTCAAACTTCATGTCGTAAAACGTCGTCAGTTCGTGTTGGGCTAGAAAATGTCTGCCTTACTTCAACAAACATTTATAGACCCTGGACCGCTAAACGAGACCGCAAAATGTGTTTCTGGGAGCGAAAATTGATCTAGCAAATTTCTCCTTGATATCTGAAGCTCAACGAAATTAATAGTAGCGGGTGTTGTCAACTGAATCAGAGAAGTGACAAGACCCTTCGCGGCAAGGGTTCTCACCCGGACGGATCCGCTGTACAGAAAGTAAGTAACCATTACTAGTATGTAAGATTCTTGTAGTGAAAAGTGCCTGCCTCTCCGCAACTGCGGAAGGCGATGTGTGCAACATATCGAACCGAAAGTGAGGTGAGCCTCACCGTACTGTCCGAACTCAATGACGTAGCATTTCACGTAAGGCCAATGTGCGTACTAACTACCACACGTCCAAACGAAGTCATCCAGAGCTCGAGAGATTGCGTCATTTGCGCTCATGTGGTGTCAACGACGTTCGATTTAACGTAATACCTTTCCAATGAAACCGATCCAAATCCTCCAAATACTCTCCTCGACTTTGCTTTCTGGGTCCATTTCACCATGCCCTTTACAGCCCAGTGCATCATCTGGCATGGCTGTGGATTGCCGCCGCCGGGCACGTTTCACCGAAAGACCCAGACCCGGTGACCGACATGGTCATGATTCGCCTGATGGCATCTCTGACCTCACGGATGCCTCGAGGCTGCAGGGTTCCCTGAGGACAGCTTTGCGATCGACCGCGTCGTTGCGGCGAATCGGCCTCGGAACCGAAACCAGAACCGAATCCAAGGCCAGAAACCGGATCAGACGCGCCGTCATTGGTCTAGGCGTTGGACCAAAACCGGATAAGACGGTTTAAAATATAAAACGGATAAGACGCGCCGCCATTGGTCCAGAGATTGGCCAGAACCAGATCAGATGCCCCGCGCCTATCGTTGTAGGATGCGTAGGTCTCGATACTTGCCCACCAGCCATGGATTCGTCCCAGCCTCCACCTGGTCCAGTCACGCCGCCTCCCGCCGTCTTATCGACAACGTAGCGCAGTGACGGCAACCCCTTGGAGAATGGGAACCGGCGGCGAATACAATTTTTAAGTCTTTGCCAGAAACTGGATCAGCGCCTCTTTCCATGCAACGCCATCAGGGCTGGAAATAAATTGTGTTGCGAGAAGTTTTTGGTCCCATCCCCCCCCCCCCCCCACAACCGACTGTCCCTAGCGTAACGTCGTATCCAACAGTCACCGGGCTCACACAGCACGACATGCCGGTCGACCGGACGGGTGTTCGCGAAGTGCGATACATCCATTACACGTACCTGCGTGCAGGACATTTGAAGTGAACATATGATGAAACAGCGTTCCTACTCAGCATGCGCGGACTACCTTCCTTTTGTCATGTACAACGGACACACACACACACACACACACACACACACACACACACACACACACACACACACACACACACACACACACACCTGTTCATTTAGCAATACAGAGACTATAAACCCTTTAAGCTCGCATCCGGTTCAAATTATCTTGGAGACGGAGGTTTGCGGAGCATACAATGATAAAGCAGCTTGGATATGCAAGGTAGCGTAGGTATAGGACTTTATTAGTAAATCTCGTGACAATATTTTTGATGCATTCAAAACATTGCGGGTGCGCGCGCCAATAAGTCCCACCATAAATGCACACAATACAAAACCGGTTCCATAGCGTTAACACATGTTTGTCTTTTCACCGCACTGACAAACATTAGCACGCAGTTACTTGCATAGAAATGACCCACGGGCTACTTTTCCGTATGTAAATTATGACATTTCAATTGTAGGCATGTAGCCATTTGGCAACGTGTTAAAGGGAATGCTCCACAGTTGAGGATATTGAGGCGCGCATCAGATATCATGAAGCATACTTCATTTATGACAATTGGTACAGTTTTTAATGGAAAAGACTGCTCTAGACAACACAATTTCACAATTTAGTGAATATGCTCCTCAATGCGTCTTCGTTCGATTGCGTCATGAAACCTTTCTATGACATTGAAGTGCTGGCAAGCCAGCCTTTGGCCAAGGATAGCCAAGCTAGCCTTGTAGCACCCAAACTGCTAAAGAGATGTCAGAGTTGGTGTTAGAAGCGTTCGCTAAACAAAATGTCGTTATGTGTTCGTATTTTGGCGCTTTTCCGTGGTATCCTTGCGTATTTATCTGTAAATTTAAGACGTTTGCAGGTATTCACATGCTCGGTTAGGGTGTTATTCTTATGTTATTCCATTAAAAAGTCATTTTTTCGGTAACAACTAGCAAGCAAAGAAAGTCATATACGATTTCTTACATTATGTAGCATGAAACGTGGTTTGTGATTGAAGACTGCACAGCTTGCTCAACGTTGATTGGGGTCACTTAGCGCTCACTTTGCTTGGAAGTCAAGCCCCCGGACGCCAGATCTGTACCAAGACCCTAAAACTTGAAGGCATAACCGTTCGGGCCGAATTCCGCTGTTTTGACTGATGACGTCACAAGTGTACTCGGTCCGCAATGGTACACAGCCGGAACATGCCGTCCGCGGCTATTTTTTTTCCAAAGTTTCAGACCGCAAGCAAACACATGCTTTTAGGCTGCAACATAACAAGACTATTTCTCTTCCATGCCCTAATGCTACCGATGTGCGCTTGCATGCCTAAGGAAGATACTGTGATGATGACAAGTGGATGTGATATGGAATCCATTCTCAGGGTTGTCGCTCAACCCTTCCCATACATATTTGTAGCATTGACACACATGCAGAAACATGGTAAGGTTTGTTAGCTGTCATTCATGTGATGCTGAGATTTGAAGCCTCAAAATATTTTTGCAGCCAAGAAAAACCGGATCTTTCTTGCCGCTTTTGTTACGCATGGGACCAAAAACAAAACAGGCCAGCAAAAGTCTGACAACATTTTCGTGCTGAATACATAAGTTTATAGGCACTAATGGTAGACGAATTACGGACAGGAAATTCATAATTAATTTGGTAGTGGCATT